GCAAGGAGCCTCGCTCAACCAGTATACTACGAAGTTCAAGAAGAAGACGAAAGACGAATTGAATGTTAGAAGTACTGGGATCCACTTAGTGCAAAAAAAACAGTGATGACGGATCAAATAAAGTGGCTAGGAAATGTGCTAAGTTACTGTAACGTGAAAAAAGTAAATATGTTGCATTAATCCATCATCCTCAAAATATCTGTTTTTTTTAACCCTTTTCCTATATCCGACATTTCCTGTAATTTATTTCCACTACGGAAGAACAAGTGACGTTGTACTCAAAAGGCCATTCACATGTTTAAAACAATTTCTTTCACCTGATGAAAGTTTTCAGATATTTTTGCTTCCAGCAGTGATACTACAAAGCACCATCGCACCTTATCTCAGCTCTCATCGTGTAAAAGACAGAGAGAATTGAGAACATGGAAAAACGAATTTTGCAGTCCTTAGCAACCGTTCTATTTACCATATTGTCCTGAGATTACGTATGGTATCACGGTGTTGCCCATTCGAATCTTTCAAAGTCCATTTGTTTCGAGAATTATTGAACATAGCGTTGTGGAATTTTTCGTCATTGATTGACCTTCAAAAAATTAATAAATATGGCGATGAACTAGCATTTTATAAAGACAGCATTGATTCTCAATCGTAGCCACATTTTTCGTTGATTGTCGATAATTTTTCGACAACCAGATCTATCAGAACCATGAAATCCTCAAAGGGAGATCTAATTTATTTCATAAGGTTGTATTCGGCATTCACCAAATATTCTTAAGGTATTAAAACCTGTTAGCAATCGCTTCTTCTGAAATATTGAAATTGAAACTCAAAATCTCAACGCTTGTTAACTTTGGCTTTTAACTTTTTCGAGTTATTCTGCGAGTAATATGCACGCATAAGGACTATTTTATGCATGTTTTTTCATAATGCTTAGCTATTATCAGAGATTACAAGAAAAACTGTGAACTCACCTGCGTTCTCGATGAAACTGGGCAATATCTCCTTTTCCTCCGTTGAAAATATCGATCATTTTTCCCTGAAAGTGGCATAAGAAATATCAGTTCCCATATAATTTCGAATGCTCAGTGTTTTCATAATTATTTCCTCCATACACATGAAACTGAAAGCGTTTTTTGATCTTGAGCGAGTTATATCCTCAGTAATTTGCTTAGAAATTTTCATGGTGAACTCTACCTTCCTACTGTACTTACCCGGGCCATTGCCAGCTCCACAATACTCAGGCAGATGAGCAAGTGCCATAATTTTAGCGATGAGGCCATTCTGAGCTTTGCTGGAAGACCTCTGATTATTTCAGCTTCAATTGTCAAAACATCTTGTTCGAGCCAGGTTTGGATGACATGAAATTCCGGCACAATATCATGTTAGCAAGTGATAGGGCGATTCATATTATCCCGGATCCTCTTTTGAAAACGAATTCGTGATGCGAAAGATTTTAGAGCACTACAACTTTCATAGCTATGTCTATTATTCCCGCAGAATAAAGCAACGTCTTTCCCAATGTAATTTTTTAATTCAGGAGATCAAAATAGAGCTTGCAATTCTAAATGCATTTTATTGAATTAAAATGCCATAGCTCCATTCTAAGCTTGTGCGTTTGCATAAAAGACCACCTGATCCACTTTTCAGAGTTTCAAATTTTGCTAGATGAAAGTCATGAGATACAAGTGGTACAATGATGACGATGGAGAGCTGTAGAGGAGGACGACTCTGATTCTAAGGGACTGCTTTTAAACACCCTAGTGCTTCTATTTGAACAACAGTTTTACGTCTAGAAATGTCAAGTCATATGAATGTCAATTAGAGGGCAAGCATATCACGGCCTCCTACACGATTCCTGTGCAATCAAAAATGATCTGATCAAACCTACCATTGTTCTGGTGAAGTCGTCATAATCACATTTCATAGTCCAATATCGTTTTAATTTTTTGCTCTTTGGAAGTATTTCATAAATTCAATATACCTTCGGAAAATACAATCACCCATCTGAACAACACACTAATCATAATCCTTTGCCGATGTCTTATCAGATTTCTGGGAAATAATGAAAAACTGATTTCACAGATATAGTCAATCACATGACCTTCTGCTTCTTCGCCATTGGAAGCCACCCTCTGCCATGCATAGAAATAGAGCTAAGAACTTTGATTTTTACATGAACATTGTATCAACACCAATGGATCATTGATTACAGCTGTACTTCGCGATCGAAAACAGCACATAAAAGAGTAATCTCGGGTAGAAAATTTTTCTCGCCAACTATTTACAAACTAAGTGTAGTCGAACGACATGGAATCTTCGTAGCCATTAGATATATATGGATTTTATTGCACACTCGACCTATGCTTCACTAGAATCGTTCCAATCTGTTGCGAAGTAATATATGACTACACTGAAAGATTTTGTGTTGAACATATGAGGCAGTGCCATTCGAAAAGCCTCTCAGGATAAAAGTTGTAATACAAAGTTCATTTATCTGCGCACTATTTCCTTAAAATTGGTGCTTGAACGGCCTATCTGCAAGGTTCACTGAAATTCGATGAAACAGCACAACTTTTATACATAACAGCTTCGCTGGTAGATCAAGATCATTCACTGGAGTCAGGAATCGTTAAGCAAACTTCTGAAGAGGTTGACAGCCAGTTCATGCTTTCCACCATTGCAATGATTTGGAGCATTCTACAATCCAACGTCATATCCATTCCGTACAGAGTCGTCTACTCCTTCTCATCACTAGAAGTCGTTTTTGATAACAAAGTTCCAGCTGTACGTCGCATGTAGACATTTGGAAAAAGACCTCAACCCTAGTACTACGATGGCCATCAGTAATTTCTTAGAGATGACATTCAAGCATATCTGGGTACACGAAACCTGGTTCAAAGATATGATTCCTGATTATTTAGAATTAGCTATACTTCACCTATTAGCATTTGAATTTTATTTTTTTTTTTTATGAAATATCATTATTGCCATTACAAAGGACGGCTGAGAATTTTCTATGACAAAGTAGCGTAAGGATCGTTGGCCTCATTGTTTCAAAAGATATATCACGATAAAGTTATTTGCCTTGTACAGATGTTGAGACGTGACTGATTCCGTAATGCTACTCAGATCTTTGTTTGAATTCCTTTTAGTGACGGCATTCTCACTGTTTGTTCATATGCATACATGTCAATCCAAAGGCGTTTGCTCAAAAACTAACCTCAAAGTGTAGGAACGAATTGTTATGCAGTATGGATATGTCATGACAAGTATTAGAAAATAGAGGCTAACTCACCATTTGATTCTACAAGGCCTAGAATTCCATTCACACTTTTATACACAAACGCTAGCCAGAATTAACCATATTCTGATTATACCGCTTTTGCTAGAAACTTGATCTAAGTATTATTCAGCGTACACTATTAATATGCAGCATAAATACGTATTGATTAATGAAGTTATTTTATTCGTCTGATGGCTAACAATTTGATTACATGGGCCTATAGCCCTATTGGGTAAAGTTCTCGTTTCTACGAACTTTGCCTAAGAATCATTTGGGGGCAACCGTGCGGTATTTAGCTGATAACAATGAAGTTTACTAGTCACTGAAAATGCTTGGCTAACATCATCGTATACTTCAGTTTTGCGATGTGATCAAACGATTACATAGTTAGACTAGCAAAAAACTGCTGGCAAGACGACAAGTTTGCTTTGCATGCTTTCCATTAGTTCTGCATATGCAGTTTTTTCACTAAATTTTTTTTCAATGTTTTTTTTATTTTTATGTGAGCAAATAATTGACAGTATGTGCTTATTAGAACCTTAGAGCAGTTGAATTCATTCTGTCAATACATTCCGAGAATCGTAAGTCAGCAATCGTAAATGAGAATGAATGTTTCTTGAAAATAGTGCAAAGGGAGGGAACTAAGTACAGCTTTGAGTACATGGGCTTGTGAAATGACCTAAAATTTTGCCCTCGAAAATTATCCTTTTCACGCCTAATTTCTTCATCTTTTACTTATATTTATGTTTACACAACCAGTCATCACAATTTTTTTCTATTGTGCGGATCCCACTATTTCTTGTATTCGAATCGTTTTCCGTCTTAATCTTAAATGATGTAGAATACTGGTCAGCATGTCTCCTTACGATCCCAAGGATAGCCTGGCTGTGGCGTTCCCTAGCGCGTTCTTGTTAACTACTGGAGAGTTTAAGGGAAGGAGTGTGGAGCTTGACTCCACGCGCGCATCAACAAGTATCAGAACCACTCGGCCACGGCGCCTCCTTTTATTAGAGGACAAAAACCAAACTGGGCACCAGAACGATGATCTCAAGCGTCCACGTCACCACGCCTTTACTGACTACCGATTACTCAATGCACACAGATTTCCCTGCTTTGAAATTACCATTTTCTAAATCACTTTAACGTTCCCAGTTCTCATGTTTAGTTTAGTTTTTCCCGAATTTTCTTTCGTCTTACCATATTATGAGGACGGATTATTCGATCGTTTCACTTTTATTATTGCAGTGGAACCACACAAAAAGAACTTTTACTAAATGCTGACAACTATGATGTAACTGTCTTTGGGATAACTTTGGCCTTGAAGGATTTGTGCGCCTCATACACAGAAGCGCGCTTTACCACACGTTGCAGATCTCTGTACTCTGGCAAGGGAAAAAAAATTGACGTTGTTGATGAATAGAACACGCTTTGGTTAGCAGGTGAATTGTATGCTGACTATTTAGCCGTGTAACTAAAATCTCCATACAGCAATCCTATATTCACTTATGATTGAAATAGCAGAACGTGATGATGAACGTTTATTGAAACATCATAACACCGCAATAGGCGGTCAAATAAAATGATTTCCGATCGGTTATTGAAACCAAATATCTGTCAACAAAAGTAAGTTCAATGTCGGTAATGATTGCCCCGCCACAGCTTAGACGGTTCGCTGTTGACAGATAACGCGTTGTAGCGTAGAGTGGTGTCAAAACGGGCGTCGATAGTGCAACGGTTCAGCACGCTCTCTCGAAAAGAGTGAGATCTGGGTTCGAATCACAGCTGACGCAAACGTTTTTGCACACCACTCTACATTATTGGGATTATATATCAAAAATTAATCGTTAGAGTTTTCGTGACAAATCAATGGGCTAACATTTGGAAAACTCAACCTGCTATATAAATAGAAAGAAGAAAGAATGACTAGAAAGAATGTAGTGCAAAATAAGCGTCGGTAGTGCAACGGTTTAGCATTGCTCCCGGAAGGAGTAATATCTAGGTTCGAATCACGGCTAACGCAAACGTTTTTGCATTGCACACCACTCTGCATCGTTGGGTTAAGAGTAAATGTCTTCCAGGCACTATGACTAATTACCTACCAAGGCTGTGTTCTGCCATCACTCTTTTTGCGATATAAGGTATCGACCTATAAATAAGTAACCGTCAAACCTAGATAAAGTGCAGTACGAATTCGATTACCGTTTGAGGTTCAGAGTTTTGCAAGTCACTTAACACTAATGAATATATAATTATAATATCATATAACATCATATAATCATATAGCTCCGCTGAAAGATCTGATAAATGAACTATCTGCTATTGTAATAATACATAGTAGAGTTCACCGATTTGAAAAAAGAGAGTTTTTGATCTTGGACTTTATGACGAAAACTGGGCTGTGCCAGGTGTTAAAGGCACATTAATGTATATAAACGTAAACTTGGACATATTAATCTGGAAAACAGGACAAGTCGCTGAACTCAATATCAGCTGTGACGGAAGGAAGCGTCACTACTAGGGGTGTAAGTAATACAAAACTTTATCCTTGATCTGCGCTTGGATCTGGAACATTCGACGCTTCGTTCTATTCTATAAAGAAAAATGTGTGATAAGATAATTATAGGACAGCACTAAAAAAACTAAATTGAAAATCGGAATAAAATGAGGAAATTAACTGCATGTGGAGAAAAACAGAGTCAAAAAGCATTTGAGCTTGTACCATCAGACTCAAGTCTTCATAATCCGTTTATATTTATGTGAAGATTTCGACGGTATAAATGTCAATGTATTTGAACTGAAAGGCGAGGTGCTTCAAATACCACCGGTAGCAACAGCCAGTCATCCTGCTACTTCGAACCATAGTGATCACTGCGAGAATGCAGTGGAAATATTGCTGATAAAAAAGGAGACAATTTGTGCAATATGTGCGCTAGAGATCACTTAGGTTATATGGGTACAGGAGGTGGCGCGAACGCTCATAAATATTCCTTGTTGACGATGTTGAAGTCATAAAAATATCAATTCTGGTGAAGTTATCACAGATACACCCAGTGATGTCGAGTGACGTGCAAAATTTTGGCGTCAGGCAAGATTCGAACTCATATCTCACCCTCTCCGGGAGCATGTGCTCTAACCCGTTGCACTACTGATGCCCATTTTGCATACCACTCCTTCTTCACTATAACGCATCGATCTGACAGCCGCGAACCGTCAACGGCCACTCCCGGGTAGTCGGAATCGACATTCACCCCAGTCACGCAGAAAATTCGGGAAAAACTAAACTAAACATGAGGACTGGGAACGTTAAAGTGATTTAGAAAATGGTAATTTCAAAGCAGGGAAATCTGTGTGCATTGAGTAATCGGTAGTCAGTAAAGGCGTGGTGACGTGGACGCTTGAGATCATCGTTCTGGTGCCCAGTTTGGTTTTTGTCCTCTAATAAAAGGAGGCGCCGTGGCCGAGTGGTTCTGATACTTGTTGATGCGCGCGTGGAGTCAAGCTCCACACTCCTTCCCTTAAACTCTCCAGTAGTTAACAAGAACGCGCTAGGGAACGCCACAGCCAGGCTATCCTTGGGATTGTAAGGAGACATGCTGACCAGTATTCTACGTCATTTAAGATTAAGACGGAAAACGATTCGAATACAAGAAATAGTGGGATCCGCACAATAGAAAAAAATTGTGATGACTGGTTGTGTAAACATAAATATAAGTAAAAGATGAAAAAATTAGGCGTGAAAAGGATAATTTTCGAAGGCAAAATTTTAGGTCATTTCACAAGCCCATGTACTCAAAGCTGTACTTAGTTCCCTCCCTTTGCACTATTTTCAAGAAACATTCATTCTCATTTACGATTGCTGACTTACGATTCTCGGAATGTATTGACAGAATGAATTCAACTGCTCTAAGGTTCTAATAAGCACATACTGTCAATTATTTGCTCACATAAAAATAAAAAAAACATTGAAAAAAAATTTAGTGAAAAAACTGCATATGCAGAACTAATGGAAGCATGCAAAGCAAACTTGTCGTCTTGCCAGCAGTTTTTTGCTAGTCTAACTATGTAATCGTTTGATCACATCGCAAAACTGAAGTATACGATGATGTTAGCCAAGCATTTTCAGTGACTAGTAAACTTCATTGTTATCAGCTAAATACCGCACGGTTGCCCCCAAATGATTCTTAGGCAAAGTTCGTAGAAACGAGAACTTTACCCAATAGGGCTATAGGCCCATGTAATCAAATTGTTAGCCATCAGACGAATAAAATAACTTCATTAATCAATACGTATTTATGCTGCATATTAATAGTGTACGCTGAATAATACTTAGATTAAGTTTCTAGCAAAAGCGGTATAATTCAGAATATGGTTAATTCTGGCTAGCGTTTGTGTATAAAAGTGTGAATGGAATTCTAGGCCTTGTAGAATCAAATGGTGAGTTAGCCTCTATTTTCTAATACTTGTCATGACATATCCATACTGCATAACAATTCGTTCCTACACTTTGAGGTTAGTTTTTGAGCAAACGCCTTTGGATTGACATGTATGCATATGAACAAACAGTGAGAATGCCGTCACTAAAAGGAATTCAAACAAAGATCTGAGTAGCATTACGGAATCAGTCACGTCTCAACATCTGTACAAGGCAAATAACTTTATCGTGATATATCTTTTGAAACAATGAGGCCAACGATCCTTACGCTACTTTGTCATAGAAAATTCTCAGCCGTCCTTTGTAATGGCAATAATGATATTTCATAAAAAAAAAAATAAAATTCAAATGCTAATAGGTGAAGTATAGCTAATTCTAAATAATCAGGAATCATATCTTTGAACCAGGTTTCGTGTACCCAGATATGCTTGAATGTCATCTCTAAGAAATTACTGATGGCCATCGTAGTACTAGGGTTGAGGTCTTTTTCCAAATGTCTACATGCGACGTACAGCTGGAACTTTGTTATCAAAAACGACTTCTAGTGATGAGAAGGAGTAGACGACTCTGTACGGAATGGATATGACGTTGGATTGTAGAATGCTCCAAATCATTGCAATGGTGGAAAGCATGAACTGGCTGTCAACCTCTTCAGAAGTTTGCTTAACGATTCCTGACTCCAGTGAATGATCTTGATCTACCAGCGAAGCTGTTATGTATAAAAGTTGTGCTGTTTCATCGAATTTCAGTGAATCTTGCAGATAGGCCGTTCAAGCACCAATTTTAAGGAAATAGTGCGCAGATAAATGAACTTTGTATTACAACTTTTATTCTGAGAGGCTTTTCGAATGGCACTGCCTCATATGTTCAACACAAAATCTTTCAGTGTAGTCATATATTACTTCGCAACAGAATGGAACGATTCTAGTGAAGCATAGGTCGAGTGTGCAATAAAATCCATATATATCTAATGGCTACGAAGATTCCATGTCGTTCGACTACACTTAGTTTGTAAATAGTTGGCGAGAAAAATTTTCTACCCGAGATTACTCTTTTATGTGCTGTTTTCGATCGCGAAGTACAGCTGTAATCAATGATCCATTGGTGTTGATACAATGTTCATGTAAAAATCAAAGTTCTTAGCTCTATTTCTATGCATGGCAGAGGGTGGCTTCCAATGGCGAAGAAGCAGAAGGTCATGTGATTGACTATATCTGTGAAATCAGTTTTTCATTATTTCCCAGAAATCTGATAAGACATCGGCAAAGGATTATGATTAGTGTGTTGTTCAGATGGGTGATTGTATTTTCCGAAGGTATATTGAATTTATGAAATACTTCCAAAGAGAAAAAATAAAACGATATTGGACTATGAAATGTGATTATGACGACTTCACCAGAACAATGGTAGGTTTGATCAGATCATTTTTGATTGCACAGGAATCGTGTAGGAGGCCGTGATATGCTTGCCCTCTAATTGACATTCATATGACTTGACATTTCTAGACGTAAAACTGTTGTTCAAATAGAAGCACTAGGGTGTTTAAAAGCAGTCCCTTAGAATCAGAGTCGTCCTCCTCTACAGCTCTCCATCGTCATCATTGTACCACTTGTATCTCATGACTTTCATCTAGCAAAATTTTGAAACTCTGAAAAGTGGATCAGGTGAGTCTTTTATGCAACGCACAAGCTTAGAATGGAGCTATGGCATTTTAATTCAATAAAATGCATTTAGAATTGCAAGCTCTATTTTGATCTCCTGAATTAAAAAATTACATTGGGAAAGACGTTGCTTTCATTCTGGGGAATAATAGACATAGCTATGAAAGTTATAGTGCTCTAAAATCTTTCGCATCACGAATTCGTTTTCAAAAGAGGATCCGGGATAATATGAATCGCCCTATCACTTGCTAACATGATATTGTGCCGGAATTTCATGTCATCCAAACTGGTCGAACAAGATGTTTTGACAATTGAACTGAAATAATCAGAGGTCTTCCAGCAAAGCTCAGAATGGCCTCATCGCTAAAATTATGGCACTTGCTCATCTGCCTGAGTATTGTGGAGCTGGCAATGGCCCGGGTAAGTACAGTAGGAAGGTAGAGTTCACCATGAAAATTTCTAAGCAAATTACTGAGGATATAACTCGCTCAAGATCAAAAAACGCTTTCAGTTTCATGTGTATGGAGGAAATAATTATGAAAACACTGAGCATTCGAAATTATATGGGAACTGATATTTCTTATGCCACTTTCAGGGAAAAATGATCGATATTTTCAACGGAGGAAAAGGAGATATTGCCCAGTTTCATCGAGAACGCAGGTGAGTTCACAGTTTTTCTTGTAATCTCTGATGATAGCTAAGCATTATGAAAAAACATGCATAAAATAGTCCTTATGCGTGCATATTACTCGCAGAATAACTCGAAAAAGTTAAAAGCCAAAGTTAACAAGCGTTGAGATTTTGAGTTTCAATTTCAATATTTCAGAAGAAGCGATTGCTAACAGGTTTAATACCTTAAGAATATTTGGTGAATGCCGAATACAACCTTATGAAATAAAATTAGATCTCCCTTTGAGGATTTCATGGTTCTGATAGATCTGGTTGTCGAAAAATTATCGACAATCAACGAAAAATGTGGCTACGATTGAGAATCAATGCTGTCTTTATAAAATGCTAGTTCATCGCCATATTTATTAATTTTTTGAAGGTCAATCAATGACGAAAAATTCCACAACGCTATGTTCAATAATTCTCGAAACAAATGGACTTTGAAAGATTCGAATGGGAACACCGTGATACCATACGTAATCTCAGGACAATATGGTAAATAGAACGGTTGCTAAGGACTGCAAAATTCGTTTTCCATGTTCTCAATTCTCTCTGTCTTTTACACGATGAGAGCTGAGATAAGGTGCGATGGTGCTTTGTAGTATCACTGCTGGAAGCAAAAATATCTGAAAATTTCATCAGGTGAAAGAAATTGTTTTAAACATGTGAATGGCCTTTTGAGTACACGTCACTTGTTCTTCCGTAATGGAAATAAATTACAGGAAATGTCGGATTAGGAAAAGGGTTAAAAAAACAGACATTTTGAGGATGATGGATTAATGCAACATATTTACTTTTTTCACGTTACAGTAACTTAGCACATTTCCTAGCACTTTATTTGATCCGTCATCACTGTTTTTTTTGCACTAAGTGGATCCCAGTACTTCTAACATTCAATTCGTCTTTCGTCTTCTTCTTGAACTTCGTAGTATACTGGTTGAGCGAGGCTCCTTGCAATTTCGTGGATAGACTTGCTGTGGCGTTCCACAGGACGTTGTTGATGACTGCCGGATAGAAGTAGGAAGTGGAACCTGGCTCCACGCGCGTCGTGACCAACATCACAACCACTGGGCCACGCCACCCCCGTGGTAGTGGTAGGCAGTCAAGTGTGGTGGTAGTCTTCGCTACATTAACATTCAATTTACTTTTAACCAATCACTTGAGGTCTTTGATATCAGATGTTAAGATACATACAAAAGCGCCAATTCGACTTCAATACTGGTAAATCCGTAATCTGATATTTCTACCAAATGTTCCAACTGAACAATTTGCTCTTACGAATTCTATTCAAAATCGATAAAGCTTTGAGCATGATTTAAGACGCCGATGAACTCGACAAAATAAAAGAAGCGATGGAGCGGATTCACAAAAACACTTGCATTCGCTTCCG